TCATCCTATAATGTAAAATTACGTGGACAAATAGCCATATAGGCATGCAAATAAATAAGTTGTGCATGCATTTGTATTTACAAAGCTTTGTAGTTCTGCAAATCAGGTCCAAAATTTTGGTAAATTACCCACTATACTGTACTAATTTTTATGCACTCTATTTTGACTCAACATGTTTCTTGAATAGAGCTTTCATTTTAGTTATTAAAAGGGACTACACAAGCTATGAAGTGACACCTACACGGTGCTTTCTTCCTTCAAGGGATATTGCCAACCTGTTTAAGCCTCCCCACCTTCATTCAGTTTACCTTAATGTGGTTTAATACAGAGGCCGCAAAGAATGCGTTTTGCTATCAACTTCACATCACTTGTCACAGAGCTTGTCTACACTTACAGCGCTGCTATGGTGCGGCTGTAGTGCTTAGTGAAGACGCTACCTAGGTTGGTGGGAGAGATTCTCCCATCAGTGTAGATACTCCACCTCTCTGAGAAGCGGTAGCTATGTTGATGGGAGAAGCCCTCCCATCGATATAGTAGGGCCTACGCTGGCAGCTAGGTCAGTATAACTGCATTGCTCAGGCGTGTGGGTTTTCCACGCCCCTGAGCAACATAATTATACTGTCCTAAGTTTGTAGTGTAGACCAGGGCTCAACGTGACCCATTACAGAAGGTTGAACTGCAGCTGCGGGTAATTTAACACTCATTCCTAAAGGTGTGCAACTGCCTGCTGAGACTGTCCTGGAGAGAAACAAAAGGGTCCCACCTTAGTCCTTGTCGCTGTAGAAACACAGCAGGATAAGACACTTGCCAAATGACTTTTTGGGACTAAGAGTATGTTGCAAACAGTGCAGTTTATAAAGAGGTGTCTTTTTAAGACAACTACCCTTAAGGGCTATTTTTAAAAAACAAAGAAAACCGTTTTTTTCTGTAACGCGGGTGGACATGTGGTGCGGATAAGACACCAAAGGGGTTTTGGCATATTTGCTGGATGTAGATTTAGATTTTTTGGAAACAAGTCTGACCCTTAGTTTGAAGCTTGCTGCAGAGAAGACCCATGTTCTGTGAGGGGGGGGGGACGCCCCAGGCTCATTACAGAATTTCTTATGCTCAAGTGTCTACTGCTTTCTCGTCCCAGAACGACAACTACAGCTTTTTACATTTCCTTTCCAAAGTACGGTGCAAACATTACTCATCACAACATCCTTGCACATTATGTTCTCCCCACTTTCCAGAGGGGGTAGTGGAGGTTATGCATTTGTACCCGAGGTTATACAGGTTTCAGAGGAACAGCCGTGTTAGTCTGTATTCGCAAAAAGAAAAGGAGGACTTGTGGCACCTTAGAGACTAACCAATTTATTTGAGCATGAGCTTTCGTGAGCTACAGCTCACTTCATCGGATGCATACCGTGGAAACTGCAGCAGACTTTATATATACACAGAGAATATGAAACAATACCTCCTCCCACCCCACTGTCCTGCTGGTAATAGCTTATCTAAAGTGATCATCAAGTTGGGCCATTTCCCACCTGATGATCACTTTAGATAAGCTATTACCAGCAGGACAGTGGGGTGGGAGGAGGTATTGTTTCATATTCTCTGTGTATATATAAAGTCTGCTGCAGTTTCCACGGTATGCATCCGATGAAGTGAGCTGTAGCTCACGAAAGCTCATGCTCAAATAAATTGGTTAGTCTCTAAGGTGCCACAAGTACTCCTTTTCTTTTTGCGAGGTTATACAGAGAGTTGTCTGAGCTGGGGCTAGAATTGGGGGCTACCAACCCTCTGTTTGGCTCGCTAGGTGAGGCTGCTGTCTAGGAGGTTTGGGCAGGGAAGAAAGAGAAAAATCTCACTCCAGTAAGCTTAGTGGAAAGTTGGGGAATATTCTCCCTCTTTGGTTCTGTGGAGAAGATTTTACTGAATTCTTGATCTTTATGCATTCTTTGTTTGAGCAATCATTTTCTAGAGAAGACCAGAAGATTATGTTGAATATTAGCTAGCAATCAGCAACTGTTTAAGATGGAAGCCATGTTACACATTACAATAAAGCATAGACATTCATTCATAGCTTTAAAAGAAAAAAAGGCATCCCTTACTTTCCTGCACACAAGACAATTCTCCGTTATTTCCTGCTGATTTCACTGGGTATTTAAGAGACAGGCTTAATTCTATAACAAATTGTCATGTAAATATCAACAGATCAAATGCAAAGGCTTTGTGGAGAAGAAGCAATATTGACTCTTCTCTTTGTCTGGGGATATTTTTGGCTGGTTTTTACTATAGTAAGCAACTTGTCAGAGGAGGACTTGGATGGAGATTTGCAAATGCTGATTAAAAAATCCAGGTGCTGTTAAAATTGAACTCTCCTGTGTGCGTTTTGAATATAATTTTGTTTTGAAGCTCCACTTTATGGCTATTTCCCACCCTTTTAAATCTCTCCCATGATACAGATTAAACATTCTTCTTGGGGGGAAAAAGAGGTATTGGAGAATTAAACACCTCTTAAAAATATAAAGAGTTCTTCCAGTCTGTCTACCCCACACCAGAGTAATTACCCGGTGCTGAAGATAGGTCAAGTCATGTAACCAGGGCAGCTGACTTGGTGCACAGCAAGGTGTAACTGCAAGAATGGCTCAGGGCAAACCATGTTCCGCACCATTTCAGAAGCCATGGCTTGTCCTGGTCCATCCTTGTACTTAAACCTTGTTCAGCACCACTTGTCAGTAATAGGCTAATTTCCTGGTGTAGACAAGGCTAAATTTACACTAGGATAGCACCTTGAATGCAGACTGCTCTCCAAGCTCTCTACAGATGTACATCCACCAGTGAAATGGAGGCAAGTCTTCTCACCCTACAACAATTCAGAGAGGAAGTAAGGAAGATTTAATGCACATCAGGAGGTTACAGGCTGTAGAAAGGAAGGCTGATCCAGTGGTTAAGATGCTAGTCTGGGATTTGGAAGACCTGAGTTGAATTCCTTGCTCTGCCACAGGTTTCCTGTATGACTTTGGGCAAGTCACTTAATCTCTCTGTGCCTCAGTTCTTCATCTGTAAAGTGCGGATAATAGCCCTGCCCTACCTCATGGGGTGGTTTTTCGGATAAACGTTAGCAATTGTGCGGTGCTAAGATAACTGTAGTAATGGGGACTAAGTGCCTTCACCCCAAGATAAATTGTAAAGTGTGCAGAATTGAACCTTGAAAGTGCATTGAGATTTTCATTAGCCACAAGGAGTCAGGAGCTTGATTTTACATCTCAGCAAGATAATGACACTTCTAGCAGCACGATTGTTCCTTTATCACCATGCTGGAGGATTGATTCAATGTTGTTTACTGAATTGCCAATACCAAGATTTTTCCTTGGAAGCAACCTGTCAAAGTGTAATGACCAGGCCTGACCTTGTTTTAACTTGCGTGATCCCATGGCAGTATGGCTACAGCCTAAGAGGATAATACTAATTTGAAAACTTAACTATTCCTGGTTGTGTGTAATGTGTTTATAGTTCAGCATCTCAGCAGGCGTTTAAAAAGCAACCTGCTATTTGTGGCTCAGTGGTGATGTTTCTGGGGTTTCTATTTATACTCTGTTCTTGATGTGTCTTGTTGCATTAGATTTCTCCTCCTACTTTTAACGCTAGTCTATAAAATACCTCATACAGAATATGTCTGTAACAAAGCTAGGATTTTTGAGATATAACACTGTGCATGTCTGAGTGAGATCTGTTCATCTCATAGTTGATCCCTTTTTCAATTAAAAAAAATTCTTTTGGTACTTTGGATCAGTGTAACCGTTTCTGGCAGCATTTCATTTTGACTCCCATGAGGCCTTGTTACTGCTTTGGCTTCTAGTTAGTATCAATAGGACGATGAGAGACTCCTTGCTTTCACCAGTTCATGGTGGCTTATTTAACTCAAACCAGTTACTGTGTATGCCTCAATCAACTTAATGGCGGAGGGGAGAGGGGAATCATGTTGGATGAAATTCACCCGTGTGCAGAGACCCAGCCTGAGGCTGATGCCCCACTTACACCTCCAGAAATGTATATTCATTTGCTATAATATTGTGTAAGTGGGACTAAGGTGAGGCACAAGGTGAATTTCACCCATCACGAATAATTCCTCAGACCCCAAAGGAACCTTATCCTTCAGATAGAATGTTTCTGTCTTGGTGAGGGAAGTGATTACGCTGTTTGACAGTTCAGCAAAACACTAGCTTCCTTTGATGGTTAGGGCATACAAAATTTCATTTACTCCACTTAGGCATGATGATGATTTTTGGAAGTGTCTTTTCTTTGTAAGCTGGCCTACTAATAGTACTGAAATGTTGGTTGCACTTATGTTAATTTTCCATTATTGTCACACCAGAGAAATGTCAAGCGTACCTATAACAGCTTTCCAGGGGCCCTGGGGTTCACTAGGTTCCCATGGTAAAAGAGAAGATTCCAGCATCCCCCTACTTAATGAGAAGGTATATCTCCTAATGCTATGTTTTGAGTTAAGTGGAGCCCACTCAGTTTAAGGTGGCACAACACATTCCAGACCTAGGCCTTTGTGGACTGTAGTCCTGTACTGAAGGTGAGGCCACACAACTCTCTGCAGGACGTTGGTCGTCACTTGAACATTACACTTCCTTCTAGGATGATCTTGTGGTTAAGGCACTGGATTGACACTCAAGGAGATCGCTGTTCAATTCTTAGTTTTCCCATAGATTTCCTGTCTGACCTTGAGCAAATCTCATAACCACTCTGTGGGTTAATTCCCTGTCTACAGAATGAGAATAATACTTCTCTGCCTCACAGGGGTGGGGAAGATAAATGAGTTAATTAAATGTGATATGCTCAGCTGTTACAGTGCTGTGTTCCATATAAAGTATAGATAAAGATAAAACATGCACACTAAGTAGTTTATCCACCTCACTGACGCTCAGCAGTTAAGCACGTGGAAATGTCTTTTCATGTATTTAACTTTGGTTTCATGTAAGCATATTTTGGTTTTGGATACTCAGGGCCAGGTCATGGGGAGGCAGAGACGAGAGAATGCATCTACTACAATGCCAACTGGGAGCTGGAGAAGACCAATCAGAGTGGCGTGGAACGCTGTGAAGGAGAGAAGGACAAACGGCTCCATTGCTATGCTTCTTGGAGAAACAACTCTGGCTCCATTGAGTTGGTGAAGAAAGGCTGCTGGTTAGATGACTTCAACTGCTATGACAGGTAATAGCCATCCTGATCACTTGAGACACAAATTTAAATTGTATTTCAAGTGGGAAAGGCTTTCAAATTGTAATAGTGATGTCCAGAAGTAGCCAAATTCAACTGGACCTTATTAACTTGCTTTAATTGCTTGTATATATCTCAAAATTCTCACTTAACTCTTTGCTTTCAATATGGAAGCCACAAAAGGCCCTTTTATGGGGCATTTTTTTTTTATAGGAAAGCTCAGCAATTCTGGCATGCTCTGAAAAATGTGTCCTGTACCATTGAGTGAAGAGCAATATGTTCTTCCAAGAGTACTTGGCTACATAAGGGAAAACATGGAGTCATTTGGAGCTGTCTAGAAAAACACAGATCTTGGGGAGTATTAGGGTTTGGGATGGTCTTGCTTTAATGATATTGTAAAGGGGTTCTTTACTCCCTGTCCATGCTAGCTGGGTTGAGGGTAGAATTGTAGTTTGGCAGGGACTGGGGGGGATGGACCATTGAAGTACAAGTGTGTTGGAGTATGGTGCTGCCTGTAACCAGCTGTAGGGGGAGATGGGCACAGCTGTGTGAAGGGTGTGGATGCATTAAAGAGCTTGGATTTTAGGAAAATATGGTCTTGCCTCATAAGTTTGGGTAACCCAATGCTATGTTATCTAAGGAGAACAATTGCAATTTTTAAAAAGTTTACCTTAGTTTCAAAGTTTGGAGGAACACTGTCCACTAGTTCTGAGCCTAAGATACTTTTTAGTTTAACTAGAAGGTAGTATAGTAGAATCTTAGCACTCAGAGGTATGGGCAAAAAGGTACGGGGTCATCAAAATGATGGTCTGGTTCTATGATTTAAATGCCAAAATAGAACTGATCCTGCTTTTGCAGGAAAATAGATTATTCCCAACTGTATATTTCCTAATTATTTTATCCTGTCTGATCTTAAATATTTTAAGACATGAGATTTCCACCACTACTTGGGAGAGACCATTCTGGAGTTTAGATCTCATACGAAATTCTACTTGAACTTATTTCCTGTGCAACCCTATTGAAATCCCTGGGATTAAGTCAGGGCCAAATTTGGCCCCAAGTCAAAAAGTTTGTCCTATTTATTGAAATTGTTCCTAGCTCTATCCCATTCCTCTGAGCAATTCTGCCTCTCCATATAGCTCATAAGTAATTCCTCTTATTCCTTCAAATATTTGTAGCTGGGTTATTTTTCCACTACACCCACCATCCTAGAAGTTGCATAGTCAAGCTCCATATTCATTTAGATTTTACACACACACACACACACACACACACACCAGTCCTCCCAGACTCCTTAGTCATTGTAGTGCTGATCCTCATAGGAACATTTCACTACCATTTTCTGTTTTCAAACAGAAGTGTTTAGCATAACCAGATTTCCGCTTATAGCATATGCTCCCAAATACAGCAGCACTGTGACAGGTGCATGGTATAACACAATGCCCCCATGCTGTAATGCACTGGTTCTCAACCTCTTCCATACTATTATCCTGCATTACAACAGAAGAATGTTTCTGGGCCTTCCAACCCCTCCCATCTAGTTGTAAAGAAAGAAAGGATGGTTGGTTGCAATATGTTAAAACCTGTTCAAATGCCCAAAATTGAGAACACATGCTTATAACACACTAACCCTGTGGCACGAGAACCAGAAGGTACAAACTGACCAGTCTAGTTTCATGGTCCAAGCTGAGTGAGATACCAGGTGTTAACAAACAACATAAATGGTGAAAACTCCATTTTGAATTTTTAGAAAGATTTTAATTAACCAAGTCAGTTTTAATTATACACTTCTTGAGTGTTCAGTTTGTATCTTGATGGAGGCCTTTTAGTTGCCCCATGCTGTTATGCTTTGATCCCAGGAGAAATGATAAAATGTGACAAACAGGCCTTTAAAACAAATGCAACTGCATTAATGTCCTCATGGCCTTTACTGGCTTTTGTGTTCAGCACACACATACGCAAGCTGCTGGGCTCCCAAGGGCAATCTTGTTGGGATGCAGCTATGTTGCTACTTAATTACCTATGAGGTGTCTCCTGGAAAAAGGACAGTCTCCATGTTCTATCAAATTCTAGTGTCTTTTGCTTAGTAACATAGATAATGGTTAGCGTTATATGCCAAACGGTACCTTGCTGCAACACTAAGGTTGAGATATTAATGATACGAAGGTCAGGACATTTAGGGTTATGGTTCCTAGAGCAATCTTAACTCTGTCCTTTAATCTCATCTAAACTGTTAGGGCATAGAAGTGGTGTAAGAATCTATACAGATTCTTATCTGCTCATTACAATATTTAAGCCCCTTGTACTTGTGCAGTAAAGTGGTGTTTCATTATGTGATCACCCAACGAATATGCCATAACATGGCACATGTGCATTTAAAGCTGTAGAAAAGGATACAATTTAAAAATAAATCAACAGTGCACAATTCATTTATGTGCATTATCTCGCTGGAGGAGCAGTATTAAAATTCACTTGAAGAGCATGTGAATTACTATAAAATGTACACTTACAGCTATAGAAAACAGTGTACTTCTCTCCCATTATATTATATTGTACTGCTTGCTAAGTAGCATGTCAAGCTGCCCAGAGTTGTGTACCTGGGCGCACTCTGAACCAATTAAGGGAAATAATGAATTGCCTATGCAGAGTAGGCTGTTTACACTCATTAACTTAATTTCTTAACTAACAGACTTTGCAAAACATGCATTCTCCACTGAAGGCTACAAATACTCGAGTCTAATGCCATTAAATTGAAATGTTGTATGTTGTCTGAATTCAGGAAAAGGTATATGGAAATATTACTTAAACTTGTTGAAACGTCATCACTGGGATAACTCAAATGGCTGATGTTTCCTTGAACTAAAAAATAAAATAAAATTACTTTCTGGCTGAGATCTTGTATGAGAAATTCTAGCTCAAAAGTTAATTTTTCCCCCATGAAGGAATAAACCACTGAAAATAGTGCCATGGATTAAAAGAGCCTTCTCCACCCTTACTTCTAGCTATGTGCTATTGGTGTCACAATCGAGGAGGCTTGGCATGGATTCACAGATAGAGTAATAACGTCAGACACGTGATTGTTTTATTACTTCCTCAGTGTGTTTCAGGGAAGGAAGTTAGGCATATAAATTTAGCTGGATTTAGGAAATCTTTTGATACAGTTCATAGAGCACAAATCTGCAATCTAAGTAACTTGATAATATACTGGAGAGGGTAAAAACCTGACAAAGAAAGCAGGTGTTTGTAAACAGTAGCAACTTGCACTGGGGGAGAATTGAGGTAGTAGAACACTACAACAGTTATTGGAACATGTTGTGCACTGACCTGGCAGGAAAAAGGATGTGTGGAAAACTGATGAAGCTTGTTTGATACCTATATGAGAATCTTTTTAAGGTATACAAAATATTGAAATAGTATGGCTAGATAACTGCAGTGCTATCTGAACTAGAAACAACTGAGAGTATTTAGAATTACAGCTTACATTTGTTTAGAAGACAGGTACTCATGTTTAGGTGGAAATTCTTTCTTTAAAGCGAACTAGTGGTTACTTGAGGTAGGTAACTATATTAAGTACATGAATAAGACTTACTCTCTATTAGTTACAAGTAAGATAACTAATGCAGATAGTTGTTAGAGAGGACACACCAATAAAATGGAAATATAGTTAGATACAGTAACTACAAAAGTGGGGCTGGCTCAAGGAGGGTTTCTGGCCTCCTTCCAGTTTAGCGTGCCCCGTCTTCCTGTTTAAATGTGATGATTTTTATCCAGTATTGCTGAGTTACAAGGTTTAAAGTTAGATGTGAAGAATAAAATACCAAAGTATAGTCTGGTGAGCTGAAGTGCCTGGATAATATGCCTTTAAGGGCTTTGAAATTCATGGGGATCAGAATGTTGCTAATGAGTTGAATCTGAGCAGCCTTAAAACGGATCCCCCTTCCAAAAATATTATGTTAAAAGAACTTTCTTTATTTGTAAAGTCAAACACTCAAAAGTTAGGAAATGCCAGAGTTTAGGTTGCGTGTGCAACATTAATTTGGTCCACTTCTGCATATTAATTACAATACAGTCTTAAATTACATGATCATATACTGTTTTTTTTTCCCCCCATGTGATCCCTGCCTTGGTCAGTGCACAGGACAGAGAGCTCTCAGGGAATGGAGCAGCTGTTTGGTATTTTAATGCTTATCATTCAGTGAGAGATCACAGCCTTATTTATTACACACCATCCAAAGCCTGCAGCGAATATGGAATTATTTGTTTCTTCACGATCTTTTCTAGGGTGCTTGCCACTATGGTATGAGTGCTACACAGACATTAATGAATTTATCTCCACTGCAAGATCAGAGAATGTTCTACCCGTTTTACAGCTGGCAAAACTAAGACAAAGAGACTGCCTGAGGCCATGAGGTGAATCGGAGACAGAGCCAGAATTAGACTCCGGGCCGCCTGACTCCCAACCTTGTACTCATTCCTCTAGATCACGTTACTTTACTGACATGTTGAGAATCCACAGCTCCCATTTGCTTTAGCTGGAGTTGCGTGCTCAGCCCTTCCACAGATCAGCCTTCAGATGTCTCAAGTTGGGCACCCAGAAAATGGTGAACACCTAGGTAGTGGCCACCTGCCCACATTTTAATTAGTGACTTACTCAATATCTCATGAAAGCTCTATGACAGAGGCGGGGTAGTACGGAGTTCTCCTGTGCAGCATTCACCTGCCTTAGCCTCAAGACCATCCTTTTTCTTCCTGCAATCCCCTACTTTATTCTGTACACACCTTCTGACTGCTAGAGCAAATCAGTCTCATTCACTACACAACAGCTCAATTCTTTCCCTGAGCATTGTCCATGCCGTACATTGAAGGAAGCAAAGGACCGGTGAGGAAAAACGTGTGATTAAAGATATAGGAAGAGTGAAGGAAGTGCACGCTGACTGTCTGCCAAAAGTCCTGGAATGTTCACTCTTACTGGGTTTAATTTACCCTTTTGTACACTCATATACAATGGCTGCGAACTAGAATTCTATAGCGAAGTCTCATTCTTTGTTATTCCCTTTAAAAACAAAACACAAAACTTTCTAGCTTAAGAGACTATAGGTCTGCAGAATGCAACAGAAAGAGGAGAAAAACAGAAACTTCACTGCAGCCAAATCTTCTCTTCCTAGGACAGTATAAAGCAATTCACTAATTTTTCCCCCTCCTCTACCTTCCCCCTTTGTTCGTTCCTGATACAGGCAAGAATGTGTAGCCACAGAAGAGAACCCTCAAGTGTTTTTCTGCTGCTGTGAGGGGAACTATTGCAATGAGAAATTTACGCACTTACCTGAAGTAACTGGTCCAGAAGGTAAGTGACTCATTTTGGGGAGGTGGAGGTGGAGGGGGGATCTGTTTAAAAACCTTGATCTCTGTTGGTTTGCAGGGACCTTGAATTGCTTGGTATTTAGCAAGCAAGAAATCAGAGGATGCCTTCGGTTACAAACTTTGGAAGTTAAGCAGATACATTTTTTTACACAGCGTATTTTTTAAAAAAATGCTGTTTTGAGTAAAGTGAATTGTGCAGAAACCTTGCGTATCATTAGCAAGGACTAAATTCTCTCTTCAGTGAATGCTTGAGGTGGATTATTGCAAAAGGAAGCCTACTAAGAGGAGAAATAATAGTTAAATGTATGAGTATGGACAAACTGTCCCTCTTAACTAACTTCCTGTATATTTTGCTGACTAAGGAGATTAGAAAGGAATGTTTATGCAGTTGTGGTGATTTGCAGCATTTGTGAATATAAGTTAAAGGGCAAGTTCTCTTTTATGGAAAAGTATTAGCGTTTAAATGATATTTTTCTATAGATGTCTTTTAAACCATCCTATAAAATTTTAATAGAAAATTTATCTCTTTTTCTATAGGGTGATCTCAAGGAATCTATAGAAAGTGTCTTTTTCTCGGTTGAACAGTATAGATTTTTCCGAGTAGTTTCGATATAATTGTATTAGATCCTTATAAAATTTTCCAGGACTTTATGAAAGTTATTAATTATTTACACATTTTTATTACCTATTGTTGTTAAAATACCCTTCATAGCCCCATAATAACAAAATAAGCCTTTCCCTACTGATTTTTTTGTTTAATTTGGCAAATATCAAGATTTCTCCATCCCTCATCCTTCCATGTCTCCAGTGAAGCAACATGGCTCTATTTAGACTTCCCATTCTTTGTTCACCAGCTTTACTGATTGGAATGGGGAATTGGTACTACTGTGGAGACAGTACATTTGCTGATGGCTTCTGCAGTATTTTACTTTGACATCTTATTGCCATGGCAGGAAAACCTTCCTCTTTGTTAGATAATGGCAGTGGTGGGGAAGGGTCTTTGCCCTCCGTGCCCACGTAAAATCTTTTGGGGTTAACAGCAGGCAAGCATGTAGACTTAAAAGCTCCAGAAGGCAATTTTCTACTTTACTTGGGGCCGTGGAACTTTTTTGGGGACGTTCTAATGCGGTACTTTAGAGCGTGAGCTGTAGCTCACAAAAGCTTACACTCAAATAAATTTGTTAGTCTCTAAGGTGCCACAGGTACTCCTTTTCTTTTTGCGGATGCAGACTAACACGGCTGCTACTCTGAAACCTGTCATTAATAAATTGGTCATTACAAGAGCATGAGAGTCACACTAGCAAATGTCCTCTGCTAAGGAGTTGGGGGAGTGCAAATGCTTGTGTATGTCTGGAACTATAGCCGCTAATCCGATTGCAAATATAAAAAATCCTGTTTCACTTACTGTTCCCCTCCCCTCTTACAGTAATATATGAGCCACCACCACCAACACCCTCACTACTCAACATTCTGGTTTACTCTCTGCTTCCAATCGCTGTTCTGTCAGTGGCCATTCTCTTGGCCTTCTGGATGTACCGTCACCGAAAGCCCCCCTATGGGCACGTTGACATTAATGAGGTGAGTCAGAAGCCTGATACCTTGAAAACTAAAGGGCAAGAGTTGACTTTTTTTTTTCTCTTTTGGAAACTTAATTTCACTGAGTTTACCGGGTGATTATGAAAGTACAGAAGCTGTTCAGTTTGAGTATTTCAGTCCTCTTAGATTGATTGTCCTGGACTGGCACATTATTAATTTAAGCTGGCAGAACTTTCTCTTTGCTTTTGTTAAATTATTAAACAAATGTTGCAGTACCATGCTGGAATTAATTATGGCTGTCTTAGCATATGGTGTAAGAACCAAATATTTTTCTATGGGGTGAAATTAAAAAAAATCTTATGGCCGAATCTTAGTTTGAGGTGCTGAACACCTTTTTATTCCTGCATGACTAGAGGGAACCTATGCCAAATGAGCTTTTCAAACATGGAAGACCTATTTGGATTGGAGGAGCCCAACTACTCTTCTACATGAAGCTACATTGTATTGTAAATAGCATCTTTCATACAAACACTGAGTTTATACAGCTGTTATTTTTATGGACGTCTATTGTGCCTGGTTGGATGACAAACCTGCTTACTTGCTATTCATTAGAATGGTATGAAGTATTCAAAGTGAAAAACTAATTGACATTTTAGGTATACTTTGCTATTTTTTAACAAAACTGAAGGTTGCAATTTTTTTGCAGGAGATATCAGTAAGGTGTAAATGTTTTCCAAGTGAAGACAGCTTTTGCATTGAAGACATGAGAAAATTCAAGCTTTTGTCATGATTTGATGCAAAAAGTAGTTTAACGTTTCATATAAACTACATTTGAGGGTGGGAAATGCCACCTAATGGCAAAGTGTTTCATGCACAAATTCTGCAAAACAAAATGTGAATTTCACACTGCTCTGCTACTAAACTATAACTTACTTTGAACAGTAAAATTTCAGTCAGATAAAATACATTTTTCCCCTTGCTTCACTATTTGACTTCAGTTTGTAACCCACATCTTTATCCTTCTTTTGTTTTCTAGGACCCTGGTCCACCACCCCCTTCTCCATTGGTTGGCCTTAAGCCTTTGCAATTATTGGAGATCAAAGCTAGGGGGCGCTTTGGCTGTGTCTGGAAGGCTCAGCTGATGAACGACTATGTAGCAGTGAAAATCTTCCCCATACAGGTGAGAAAAGTTCAAAGACCTCCATATGCCTTTCAGTATGTTTAGCTCATTAGCAAATGGCAGCTGCAGCAGCTGCAGTTTCAAGCTGGGTAAACGATCCCATTTTGAAATCTACAGGGCATTTTAACTTTGGTCCAAATGTTCAGAGTTGTAGAAATCCAGGGAGGCAGCATGCAGCGCAATACTCAGAGTGCTCAAAAGTCCATGTTAATCCCAGATCTTGCATGACTGTTGCCTGGGTAAATTGTGAATCCAGACCTGAACATAACAAGTAATTTGCAGGTCACAAAGCCACAGTCCTAATGAAGTGAAGACTATAATTGTATGGGAACATTACTGTGCTGAGACATTGTATATTTCATTTTGAACATTCAAAACTATAAGAATTGCAAATGGAAAGACCAAAGCAATCAGACATGTCCAGTTGAAGAAAAATTATTGAAAAATCTTTGTGCTCCTCCCCTAGACCCTTCTTCTTTAATCCTCCTCTTCCTTGTGTTTTTCATTTCTATATCCTCTCTCCAGACCAGCTGTGGCTAACTAGTTGGACACTTACACAATCCATTCCGGTTTATGATAATCTTAACAATTGCAGCTAAAATATAAATCTAGGTATTTGCATAGGCTTCATTCTTTACTTGCTTTCACAGAAATTTTGGCTACATTTTTTAATCCGTGACTTTATATTGTCAGTTTTCACTTTTTTTAATGAGGCTACAGAGTTTTCTGAGGGTGGTTTCAGGAGGGGCTGAGTACAGGAATGTCTTCTCCCACTCTGGCATCTAGACCTTTTGGGAAATTGCCTAATTTTAAAGGCATCTGTACTCATTTTTACAATGTCTGAGAATAACTTTGAGGAACATCAACAATGCAATGTGTCATGGCAGCTATTTGCTTTAAATGGAAGGTTTAATTTAGAAGTGGTCTTTGATCATGTTTCCCTCTGCTTTAGGATAAAATATCCTGGCAGAGTGAGAGAGAAATCTTCAACACCCCTGGCATGAAGCACGAAAACCTTTTGCAGTTTATTGCAGCAGAGAAACGAGGAACAAACCTGGAGATGGAGCTATGGCTGATCACAGCTTTCCATGACAAGGTATCATATACCCACATCTCCATTTGGGGGCTAAAGGGACTGATGCCCATTGGGGCAACTATGCAGGATTTGGAATGGATGTTTGCCATTTGAACAGCCACTTTGGAATGTCATGTTCCCCTTGTAGCTATTCCAGAGTGTGTCTCACTTCTCCATGGTGAGCTATGTTTCAGTTTATTGAAAGAAAAAAGGCAAACTAACCTTCAGTTTAAAGATTTCTCAGAAGAACTGTCGGCTTTAGAAAATCAGTCTGTTCTGCAGGACAGGAGAAGTGGAAAAGGCCAGTGTTTGCACTTGTAAGCAGTAGTAACCTTGCACCTGTGTAGGCAAAACTGAGAGATAGCATTGAGAGATGACAGTCAGACTGTCGCAGTCCTTACTCTGCACTTTCAGACAGGCTCTGTATTTACTTAAAACTCACAGCATATCTCTGTTTCATGGATTTCTTTAGTTGCCAAATATAAAGAACATTTGAAATAAAACAAACGTGCAAATCCAGGTTTGAGCTGCAATCTTATCCCTGTATTTAATCCAAGGTTGATGGAGTCAATCATTTCCATAGATAGCTAATAGAATGCAAGATCTTTTCTCATTTAAGGCTTTCCCCTTCTTGTATAGCTGCTCCAGTTTTTCCTTGAGGTAGCTAGACCTGGTGGAACTAATTTTTAAAGCCATTAGGTGTTTTTATTTCAAATACTCTAAATTCATGTGTTGTAATGAGTCCAGGAAAGTGATAGTATTTCACCAACATTCTTCTCTTCTTTTTTGTTTTAGTCTTTGCAATTGGTTTTTCTGTCAAATCAAAGTTCAAACTTCTCAAGCACTCATTAAAACCGATCTCTAAACTGATGATTTGGCACAGCTGTAACTTACCAAGGTCTGTGATTAAATTCTAAGAACATATGATGGTCTATTTCTCAGGGCTCTCTGACAGATTACCTGAAGGGGAATATTATCAGCTGGAATGAACTCTGCCACGTTGCAGAAACAATGGCCCATGGACTGTCCTACCTACATGAAGATGTCCCCTGGTGTAAAGGGGAAGGACACAAACCTGCCATAGCACACAGGTATTGTCTTTTTGCATAACCGTGGTTCTTCAGCTCGTGACCTGAAGAGCTCTGTGAAACTTAAAAGCTTGAACCTTGCACTAGCAGAATTTGGTCCAATAAAAGGTATCACTTCACCCACCTCTCTGTCTAAAATACACGGCCTTCTGGTGACAGTTTTGTTGAACAGAGGAGGCAGGAGAACTTGCTTTTATGTAATGCCTTTCATCCTAAAGTATTTTGCAAAAGATACACGTACAGTAATAGCCAGGTAGGTAGTCTGTGTCACCTCACTGCAGAGCCCCTGTAGAAGAAAGGAATTTAGACCAAAAACATGGGGGGGGGACAGATCCTCCACTGAAAGCGCCAGAGGCTGTTTAATGTCCAAACAGAGTAGGCAGGACCTTGATTTATTCCTTATCCAAAGGATCTACACGTTGGAATACTGCATTCCGTTCTGGTGTCCTCAATTCAAGAAGGATGTTGATAAATTGGAGAGGGTTCAGAGGAGAGCTGTAAGAATGATTGAAGGATTGGAAAACAACCCTTATAACAATAGATTCAAAGAGCTCAATTTGTTTATCTTAACTAAGGGAAGGTTTTAAGGGGTACCCCTTGATCACAATCTAGAATCTACATGGAGAATAGAAATTTTATAATAGAGGACTTTTCAGACTAGATAAAAGTATAATAAGATCCAGTGTCTGGAATGTGAATTTAGACAAATTCAGACTAGAAATAAGGTGGAAATTTTTAACAGCGAGGGTAATTAACCATTAGAATAGTTTATCAACTGTTGTGGTAGATTCTCCATCTCTGGCATTTTTTAAATCAAGATTGGATGTGTTTTAAAAGATCTGCTGTACCTCAAACAGGAATTAATTCAAGGAAGTCCTGTGTTCTACAGAAGGTTAGACTAGATGATCAAAACTGGCCCTTCTGGCCTTATAATATTAATAAACTGTATTGCAGTCTGTATATTCGGTATGTCTACTTGACTATGCAAGGATTTAAACCGGTGCTTCCAGGGAATATAATTATTTCAAACTTGATGCTTAGTCTTATCCTCTTCAGATGAGCTTTTTGTTCAGAAGGAAAGAATAAGTGAAATAGGAAATGGCTGCTGTCTATTTTATAGCACTTAGCTTGCTGTGAGCTGTACAAAAGATACAAGAAGAGAAGACCCCTGCCCCAAAGAGTGTACAGTACATTTTAGACATGATACAGGTTAGGGTGGCAGGGCAAATTGCTGGAGTGCAGAGCGATGAGGGTTATGGGAACAGTCAGATACTCACTTTATACAGCTGCATGTCGTGATGGTTCTGGATAGCTTGTTCTAAAATAAACATATGGATGGCATAGTCTTGCTTGCTCCAGGCATCGCAGGATAGGTGAGTTTTCAGGAAGGATTTAAATCAGGTGAAAGGCTATATGCATGGCAGTCCCAGGACATACTCCTCCACCCACTGTACTGCACTTTAGCTTGAGCTGAAACATGAAGTTCAGTTGCAGTAGTCTGTATTTGATTTGGTGAGGCTGATTTTTACATCCGAAAAGCTTAAATCTCTGTTATAAAAAGTGTGTTCTGTTCGTGTCTGCGCGCCCCCAGAACAGAGAATTGTGCTGAGAAATGTGATCTTGTGCAAGCGCCTGCGGCTGCATCTCATTTGCTTGTGGGGGAACTCTGCCTCCTTGACACTTGCCCCTGTAAAATAAATGCAGTGATTTATATGTGAAATTCCTAGGGGTGGGGCAGGGAAAAGCCATGCAAAAGTCTTGAAGCTGTGAACCATGGTAATTAGTGTCACAATAGATTTAGCAAGTGATGCAGGGGAGGGGAAGGAGGAAGGGGGAAAAAAATTCATTCCCAGTGTGTAAACTTTACCATCTAAGAAGCATGTTTCAGGGCAGGGGTGTATTTTACTGTCCTTCCCCTGTCTAAAAAAAAATAAAAAATTTCTGAGTAAATATGTTTCAAGTTGGGTGATATTTTTGAATAGCACAGGACTGTTAAAATGCTTGAATTCTCAGTTAAGTCGGAGTGAGTTACTGCCATAAAAAGCTTCAGCTAACTCCGTAACACCATTGGCCTCTGGCACAAAAGGAGGATTAATGTTATAATTATCACAACCTTGCTTGTCAGTGCTATAGTGCCCTCTAGTGGAAATTTAAAGTAAGAGCATTGGTGTATAAATCAGTGGAATCTAATGCCGAAAAATATCATTTCTTCTTTGAGTAGTGTCCCTCTGGATGCTCTGCTTCAGGTACACATGTGCCTCTTGAGCCTGTGATTGGAGATTTTCACCTAGCAGTGTCCTTTCAGCCCGTGAATGCACTCTAAGCCTCCTAATGTCAGACACCAAAGCTATACAGGGGCTGTGTAGGTGAACTGCATCAGTTCCTTCTCAGTCACCTCAGCCTGAGAAGGAATCTTAGAACAGTGGTTCTCAACCAGGGCCCTGGGGGGCTGCCAGCAGGTTTCAGGGGGTTCAGCAAGCAGGGCCAGCGTTAGGCTTGCTGGGGCCCAGGGCAGAAAGGCGAAGTTGTGCAGTACGGTGCTGAAGCCTGGGGCCCCGAGCCCTGCCACGTGGGGCTGAAGCCAAAGCCTGAGCCACTTAGCTTCACGGGGCCCCCTGTGGCCCTTCTTGCCTCCCCTTCACACCGGTGATGGCTTTTATATGCAGAAAAACCGTTGTGGCACAGCTGGGACGTGGAATTTTTATAGCATGTGGGGGGGAGGGGAGAGATTGAGAACCTCTGCCTTGAGCATGCCTCGGCCTTTCTCTTTTATTCCTTAGTGTTTAGATACTTAGTCTAATAGTTGTTAGTGTAGTTAGTGAGTTAGTTTGTACATGTAGTGAGAAGATTGTTTTGTTCTACTCTCCTTTTCCTCCCAGGGAGACTTGTTTTCCTAGCTGGGCATTCTTCACCTGCCATGCTTGAAATGCTGCCTCTCCTGCTGAGAGTCTATTTCTGTAAGCGATGGCCACTCTTAAGTGTGTCCATTGCTTGGGGGTGTCCCATGTACCTCAGAAGTGTAACTTCTGCTTGGCTCTCAACTCTAGGGCAGGGAAGAACAAGGAGCTCAAGCTGGGACTGTTCATGATAGAACATTCTCTGCATACAGAACCAGGTCAGGAGACACCACCTCTCTCACCGCACTCCACCCCAGCATATCTGTCCCTGGACAGAGCCAGTGCCACTTCTGCCTCAGGGCAGACTTCCCCAAAAAGGAGGGGAAGACTTTTGAGGCCTCTGGGAAGACTCCCAAAAAGAGGAATGCAGATTCTCACTCCAAGGAGCCAGCTCTAAAGATCTGGTGCTCATCCAAGCCTACAGCCCCCACAGGTACTGTTGAAGCCAAGGACTCCTCCACTAGTACTGGCAGGGCTGTGACTCCCTGGAGCTCCAAGGAAAAGAGACATGGCTCCGATAGGGCCCTGGTACCTTCTACCAGCACAGAGAGCAAGCACAGGGCAAGTTTGGCCCAGCTGTTGGTATTGATGCATCTGGGCCAGCGTACGTAGTACATACCAGTACATGAAACCAGCTTACCATTGTGCCCCTTAACCCAACTGTTAGTACTGATGAAGTCTGTCCAGCCACTGGTACTGGTGTGTTCAGCACCGTCGGCACTGAACAAACCACAATGCCCATCTTCCATTGCGGTGCGATTGTCAGTATTATCTGCTTCAGCAGCTGTTGCCTGAGCTACCCTGTTGGCACCGAATCCCTTCTTGGTAGTGCAGGAATTCCAGTACTCTAAGGACCTTTTGGTATCAGATGAACTGGAGCCCCCACTTTCTCTGGGTACCAAATGCCTTTTGGTTTTTGCCTCTGGGCTAACTGTCTTCTGGGACTGCTGGACTCTGCACTGTTAAACATATGTCCCCCTCCCTCATGTGTAAGGGCACTGTTGGCCCCTTACTAAAACTTGAGGTAACTCCCTTCTCTTCATGTGTCAGTATATAATGCCTGCAGCTGTAATTTTCACTCCATGCATCTGAAGAAGTGGTTTTTTACCCACGAAAGCATATGCCCAAATAAATCTGTTAGTCTTTAAGGTGCCAATGGACTCCTTGTTGTTTTTACTAAAACTTTGTGGGTTTCTTTGTTGGTTTGTTTTTTTGGTGCCTTCTCCCCATACTAGGAGGGGGCGGTAGGGTGTGAGGAGGAGATGGGATCCTTGGACTGACCAGGCCTCTGGCCAATCAGGGAGTTCTAGACCATGGCCAATGGGGAGTAGCCAGCATCCCAGATCAGTACCATGGCCCAGCTGCCTAGTTAAATCAGGAAGCCCCCCAGCTCAAGTCCCTGCCTGCATGTGTGCTGAGGGAGGGAGACAGCAATAGCAGCCCCAGTCGGGTGAGGCTCTGTGGCCATCAGCCAGCAGGTGAAGAGCCACGCAGGAGGCTGGAGGGTCTGCCTAACAGGCCAGTGACATGTGAGAGCCAGCGAGTGGGGAGAGGAGGGTCGTGCAGCGGGCTGGAACCCACCAGGAACGGGGTGACAGACCCAGCGGGCAGGGTCCATGGCGGGGGGAACAACCGCTAGAGGGAAGGGGGCCTGAAGGAAGCAGCATGGGGGGGGTTCCAGACATGTTGGAAGGGGAGCAAGTTGGGACAGCAGGGGGAGCAGGGGATGGGCTCAGGGGTGGGGCTTACCTCAAGCAGCTCCTGGAAGCAACAACATGTCCCTTCTCCAGCTCCTATGCGTAGGGACAGCCAGGGGGCTCCGCACACTGCCCTGGCCCCAAGCGCCAGCTTCGCAGCTCCCATTAGCCGCAGGAGCTGGCGCTTGGGATGCGGGAAACCTAAGTTTATAGGCATTTGTGAGCCAAATGCCATTTTACCCTGGACGTGTGAGCTCTCAGCTCACAATGGTAGGTGCTGACTTATTTAAAACTTGCAGTTTATTTGATAGGAGCAGATAATAAAATAAACTTGTATTAATCTTTATTCTTTGTTGCCAGTGGGTTCTGGGATATATATGGGTGTGAATTGGTTAGTCTCTAAGGTGCCACAAGTACTCCTTTTCTTCTTACTACGGAAGAAGTATTCTTCTCTTGCTGCATTCTGTTACCTACCAGCTAGAACACTCACATGGACTGCCCCCACATCTAAATGGGAGAAGGCTAGTAGGAAGGGATTTTCAGTGGAGGTTCCTGACTCTAGAGCTTAATCCTCCCCCCACTTCCCTGGTCGGACTGAATAACTTGCTGACCTTTGGGTCATGTTGCCAAGCCAGTGATTGGCTGTGCCTTAAAATCCTATTTCTTAGATCTGAGTGGCAGTCGCCAGATGTTCAGTTGTTCAGAAAATCGGACTGTTTTTATTTAAGCGCATCAGTATAGATCATCTTGTCTTACTCTTTGACAGCTGAAAGCCTGCAGTTCTTTCTGAGGAGGATTATTTTTCTTTTTGTAGACAGGGGAGTCATTCCTTGACATTTTTGGCCACTTGGTCAGTTTGGATGTACGTTTTTAAAGTGTTTTTACCTCTTTGTATATGTGCCTGGAGAATGTGATAGATGCACAATATGCCCTAAAAAGTAAGTGTGTGTGTTTTGTATGTATGCATCTAATCATTCATTTTTACTTTTTTAAGATGGTGGAGCAACGTATTATTGTGGTTTAGTGAGTCTGTCATAAGTTAACTCCTCTGCCAAATGGTTCTACCTCATTGAACTACGACTCCATGAGAGCACAGCTTTTCTTAAGAAATTGAGCACTCTTTAAATTTAGTTGTGAATATGGTATGATAACAAACCCTACACTGCAGAAATGTCTCCAATAACTTCTTTACTGTACAGTGGGCTAAGTCCCTTCCCCCACCTTAATCACCTCGCCAGAAACTCTTGAACTAGAACATGCAGCTTTGTGTGTGGCTGTGGTAAGGAAGAGTTATTTCCTTTCTCAGAAGGCTGAGACTTGGGGGTTGAGCAGCTCAGCCTGCCTGTGGATGTGGTCTTATGACACTCAGAAACGCAGTAGACCCCTCTGTCTGGTCCAGCGATTCCTCTCTTCCCAAAGTATTTTGACAGATCATTTTTTAGTTTAAAACAATTGTATCTGACCTCATTAATTATGTTGTGCAGGCCAGCAGTGTCCTGCATTCAGCAAGGTCACGGAGTGAACTGAAAGAATATAGGAAAATTATAATGCGGTGCATACAAGGCATTGCCATCTGTTGTCTAAGGTCTGTAACTTAATTATATTCACAAACATCTCTTTTCTGATGAAAATGTGGAAAGGCCAGGGAGTGAGGTTTTTCTCATTAGGTCTTTTACTCACGTTCTGACTAGAACACTAAGGTAAGGACATGACTTTGAAGGGTTTGTGGATAAAACGCCACTCAACCCATAATAAACCACTACCAAGGGAATTTGGACTCTGTCAATGACTAGTGGTCCAACACCTAGAACAGTCAATATCTCTAGGATAGTGCTGGTCCTGGAGTTAAAAAATTAAATGTAGTAGATCTCCGTCACACACAATTATTGAAGCCTGTAGAAAGAGTGAGCTGAATGCAGCTTACATCAGCTTGTTTCCAAGGAGGCTTTGTTTTGTAAAGGGCTACTACTTTAAGATGACAAAGGATTATAATATATAAATGTAACATTTGCTTCATACATTAATGGGCATAATGAATACAGTAACTGTTAAAAGGGTCTAGTATGTTTGTCGGTGATGGTGCTTTGTTTATAATAACAAACTAACTTGATTAAGCTCTCTTCTAATTTAAAATTGCAGTCAGACTTTACAGAAACTGCTGACTTTGAATGGAGTAAGAGACCAGTTTTCCATGCTTATTTTTAAAGCCCAGTGTATACAAAATGTATATATAGTATGTACAAGGGAACAGTCTGTAGGTAGTCCTGGCAAAACCAATTTGTAATATAACCTCTTATCACATTTGGATGCTCTCCCCCACCCCTCAAATGCCTCTTTGAGGGAACACTGCTGAGAATGCCACGCGGAGGAGGGATTTGCCCATTAGTATGAAATGCTGACTTTTGTATAGTGCATGAATGGTAGAAACTTTAAACGTGGGAGCTGCCTTCATGTCTCATGTTTTTTATACCTCTGTGTATATGTGGCATGTTTGGGGAGTGGGGTGTATGCGTATATCCCTGTTTTTATTTTGACATTAATTTTCCCTATACTCCTGCTTTCTCCTTGTTTTCCTTACCCTGCTTTGATTCTTTTCTGAAATTACCCTCCTCCCACGCTTCCTTTTGCTTCTGCTGTTATTTCTCTGCTCTTCTGTTATCTTATTGGAACCAGTGTAACGGCCATACCTCCTACACCCTGATTGCGTACCACAGGAACCGTGCCTTTTCTGTGGCACCATCACTATAATCCTTTCCCTCAGGTTGGGGGAGGAGAGGCTGACAGTCAAACAGTGGGCCACAACTGCCATATCATCAATGAAATGTGAGCAGTGGCCTCACTTCAGTGCAAAGGCTGTAATCTGCCTCCATGCCGCTCTGTGTAGCATTTATGAGCATCGGGCCCAGCATGGGTGTTTGTAGGCAATGCCCTAATGCCACTCTTAAAGCAGTGTGTCAGTCTGATTCTACCTTAGATTCTTTGAACTGGAGTATTTTGTAAAAACACATATGCAGAAATATATGGTGGAAGGGAAGGAAATCTGTTAAATATGGTCAGGAACAGTGAGGGCTCTAGTTTGTTTATTGCTTTCATAGATTCAGGTGTGATCACAGAGATGTAAGACAGGTGCATCTTCAGCATGCTTGGATTCTCACTGGGTCACGGAGCTCATCCCGAGCTTGGCAATTAAACCAGTCAAGTTTTGACATGTTTATTTAAAAGTGATGGGATTTGTGCCATACTAAATCCTTCTCAAACTTGTTTCCTGGCTGTCTGCAGGGACTTCAAGAGTAAAAATGTGTTGTTGAAGAATGACTTGACAGCAGTTCTAGCTGACTTTGGACTGGCTGTACGATTCGAGCCTGGAAAACCTCCAGGGGACACCCATGGACAGGTAACAATTAGCTTTTAGAAATAAATGTGGGGCTTACCACATCTGCTGGGAGTGAGCAGTGTTTCTGCAGATGCAGGATATGGGGACAGTTACCGGGGGACAGGAAATTGCAGAAGGGCATTGTTTTGCTCAGCTTGGATAATTTGCAGGGGCAAGAGATACAAAATGCCTTTTTAATTGCTGATTTTAAATTAGCTTCAATAGCTGATTTTAAATTAGCTTTAGTTTTTTGCTCAAAGAGCAGGGTATGAGATGACCCAGATTTACTTCTTTTATATATTTTATATTACACCCACCAACTGTTCTTCTACTTTTGCAAATTACTTATATCCCAGATACTGAATCAGGGAACGAAGTGAGCAGAAACACTTTCCATAAAGAATGGCACTTGATCTTTAAATTTCCTGCACTGCTAGGCACTTTCTTCCTGCCATTTTAAGGTAACTTGGCTCCACCAATAGCCTTTATCTGCTACTGCAGAGGAAGGCGACCCATTACCCTCTCCAATAGTGCATGTAGTCAGTTGTGCAAGGCTGCATAGCATGGAGGTGGAGGCCATCCTGACCCCTGGAGGCATTCAGTTTATACCTTGCAGCATGAGATTTGATCACTGGTTTTAGCATTAAATATTGAGTCATAAAATTGTTGTTTTTTAAAAATCCAGTCATTGTAGCTGCCTAGAGACCTTTAGCAGCAATAAATCTCCCAAGCTGACTACACAGTGTTTAAAAACAGACAAAACCACCCTACTTTTTTGATGGTTCTGAATTTGCTACCTTTAAATTTCATAGCGACACCCTCTTCTTGCGTTCTACAGTGGGCTTAAAGGAGGAGCCAATAATTTTCCTTTACATGCCTGTATATTTTTGAATATACCATTCAAATCCTGTCTACTACTTTTCCTCTGTCCCACTATGAATTAGCAATGAGTTATTCCTAAGGCTACGATTTTGTCACGTTATTTTTAGTAAAAGTCATGGACAGGTGACAGGCAATAAACAAAATTCACGGAAGCCATGACCTGTGACTTTTGCTGCTGTGGCTCCATGGTTTCTCCCGCCACTGTGGTGACTGGGAACTGTGGGGTTACCCCGTCTGCCCACAGCAGCTGGAAGCTTCTGGTGGGTCCCCTCCACCCATGGCGGCTGGGAGCTGCAGGGTGACCATATTTCCCGAAGAGAAAACAGGACACTCCCAGGTGCTTGCCCAAGGCACCCTCCTCCCCTGTGTGAGGCTATTGCCTGTTGCTGGAACCCTGAGGAGGGCCCCCTCAGGAGGTTGTAGCCTGTCACTGGAAACTTGCAGGGGGCCCCATGAGGAGGCTGTTGCCTGTTGCTGGAACCCTCCCAAGGCCCCCCCCCGCTCCAGTCCATCAGCCCTGGGGTTGAAGGAGAGAATGTTCCCTGACTTCTGTGACCTCCATGACACAAACGTAGCCTTAGTTATTCCTAACATCTCTGTAAATGCAGCCACATCTCTGACCATTTTGGTCATCTCTCTCTAGCCCTTTAACAGTGTCTACATCTTCTTGTGCTTAGACTTTGTCCCACAGTCAGGCCCTTGCAAGATGGGAAGTTTAGGATGGGGAAAAATTATTAAAAAGAAAATTAACTTCTGCGTTGGACAGGTGATTTCCCCCTTCCACTCCAGTCCACTTCTTTCCTCACTCATCATCATGGCTTGGTATTCACCACATGTGTTTGTAGCACCTCTATAAAGGTATCTTTGTACTAAAAGTAACAACATTTTTAACAGTGGTGTGTAAAAGAGATTGAGCTACTCTCTCAAGGTTAGAGGTGGTCTCCAGAACATGGTTGAGGCAGATTGGCAGAACAGTGTGGTGAAGCTTCCAGTGTCCACGTTACACCTGTCCTCTGGATAAATGAGACTTCTATCCAGGGCTGTCAAACCTCTGTTCACCAAACCTTTCACCAGCTCAACATTCCCTTTTAAATTTATAAAGGGAGCATTAAGCCATCAACTGAGATCCATCCAATAACTGAGTCTGACTTGAACTTAAGGTGTTTGGAGTGTCTCCAAAGATTAACTTGTTTTTACTTACAGCGTGTGCTGCAATAGCTAGAGGCAGTGGTGTGGATGGATGACAGAATTTCAGATATAGTCATCTTACCTCATTGCATTTAATTCAAACCCTTTGTGTCCATTGAATGATCAATATATACATATCTACACACTTGGAGCCTTTTTACAACTGTTTCATGGAGCTTGAAATGGTTTTAATGAAGAGTGATGCTAAAAAGAGTGGACCCATATTGTTTTGAGTCAGCACACAGCCAGTTTAGCAGAGAAGTAGCTTTGAGGTTGATTGAACAGCTGTAGTTCCTACACACCCAACTATCTCTTGTAACTTAAGTTGCATTTTTTCTTTTGGTGTGTAGGTGGGAACAAGGAGGTACATGGCTCCTGAGGTGTTAGAGGGGGCAATCAACTTCCAGCGAGATGCCTTCCTGAGAATAGACATGTATGCAATGGGACTAGTATTGTGGGAGTTAATCTCCAGGTGCACAGCAGCTGATGGTAAGTGTAAAAATCCCCAGCTCAGCTTCAGCAGGGGTATGTTGTTCATAGAATGGTGGTGTCTTCATAAAATGAATGGCATATTCTTCTCATTAAGATGTTAATCTGGATTTTCCAATAAACTGTCATTCCCTCTGAACAGTGGACTTCATAGAGTTAAGGTTCAAAGTGCTTTTAACAGTGTGCAGATTTTATTGCATAATGACTGGGAACCCAATAAAAAATTTGGCGAATGAGATGAGAGAGAATAGTGCCACAATTGACAGTGGGCCTATTTTAAAGTATTAGATGCACCCTGTGTACTGTGTCTCCAATGAAGGGGGGTCTTGTTTGTTGTCTGACCTGTTCGTTTTCACTTGTTACCTAAGCAAGTTTTGAACTGAAGTGAAAGGCTAATACATCAGCTCTTTCTTCCTTTCTCCAATGTGTAATATAGGGGAGAATGCAGTCGACACTGTAAGAACAAAAGCCTGAGCACTTGAGTTAAGCCATTAAAGCCTTAGCCACGAGAGTTTGCTTTCCCCGCATCACCTGACTTTCTCTATGTTCCTGCCTCAAAACCATGCTTGAAAAATGGGGCAGCCTCTAGTCTGTCAGCAGGAAGTGTCATGTGGAAATAGCGCCATCTACTCATCGGTGACAGACTTGCCATGTACAGAAGATTGCCTGCTGATGTTAGGACTGAGGGGAGGCAGAAACAGTCATTTCATTCTGTCAACTCCACACTACCTGTTCAAACCCCTCGGTTTTTGTATGGAATCGGGTTATGGAACAGACATCCAGTCTTCAACGTGCTGATTCCTTAGGGTTTCAAATATTATTGTTTATTTGCATTACAGTAACATCTAGAGACGCAAATCAAATTGGGACCCCTGTACATGCACATGGTAAGAGACTAGTCTCTTCCCCAGAGAGCTTACTGTCTGTCTAAACATGATATACAAGGGGAAGAAGGGGAAACAGTGACCCGGAGATAAAGCGGCTTGCCCAAGGCCACGCAGCAGGTCTGTGACAGAGCTGGAAATATGACGCAGGTCTCCTATGGTTCAGAACAGCCGTTTGGATTTCCCCCATCTCCCTTTATTAATTACAGCTTCAAAAGGCCCCTGATGCAGTTCCCATTAAAGTTGATGGAAAGACTTCCTTTGACTTCAGTCGGCATTGGATTGAACCCAAAGTGCAGCTCTACTGTCTGTGCATGTGTAAATGGCACAGTAAACATGTAGACGTGTGTGGCCCCCCCTCGCTGTCAATCTCCGAGGAAGGCCATGCCTCTTGGCTGTCACGCCCCTGAAAAAACAGTTTTAGACAAGGGGGAAGTTAGCGGTCTGGGGCCTCAATCCCTTCAGCGGGGTTAAGCAATGAGTGGTCCAGGGGCCCACGCCCTGAGACAGGGCAGGACACCCACAGTCTACAGCCCAACCCTCAGGCAAAGTAGAGCCAGGTATAGTCTGGTAACCCAGGCCCTCAGTCAGGGCAGGGTACCAAGCACAGTCTAGGGCTCCAGGCCTCAAGCAGGACAGAGCGGGGAATAATCCGGGGACCCCAGCTCTCAAGCAGAGCCGGGTACCAGCAGTCTAGGGCTCCAGCCCTCAGGCAGGAGCAAGCACCCAACGCAGTCTAGGGGGCTCAGGCAGACTCACTTCCACAGGCCTTCTGGCCTATGGTGGGGTGGCAGGGCGTAGGGGGAGGTGGGCCCACCCGGCTCCACAGCGTCCCAGCCCAGGGCCCTAACAGAGGCAGAGTGGTCTGCCACTGGGTCAGCGGGGATCCAGCTGCAACCCACGGAACCGGACTCCGGCAGCCACCCAGCCAGACCATAGCTGGCTGTCCGAGGGCCACTTCCTACCCTTCCCTCGGGGTGTACCTGGGTCTCTGGGTTGTCCTTTGTCTCCCCTAGGTACGCTGCAAATGGTAATCCCAGCAGCCCCTCAACATCGGGCATGTCTGGTAGCTCAAGCAGTTAAGGTGAGTCCTTGGGGTCACAGAAGTGCTCAGCAGGTTCAGGCTCCAGCAGCAGGGTAGAAGCATCTGCCTCCCTCAGTGGCTTCCCCTGACCTGAGCTACAGGGCCTGCCCTTTGTACTTCCTGTTCCTGTCCACCAGAGGACGCCTGGCCCTCTGTCGCTGTCCATTTCCAAGGGAGGTCCCGTCTCTCTGCTACAGGCACCTTCTGACTCAACAGATCTGCTCCATGCATTTATTCCGAGCCATGTCTGCTGGCTTCAGTGCCGAACGTTTAGTCTTGTTGGTCATGCAGAGCCCATACGGCGCTGGGAAACGGAACTGAAGGGCACTGTGACTCACACTTCAGCAGTAACCTCAGACTACATGTCAGTTGCGAGACATTGAATGTGCATACGTGTAACTAAGGGCACGTTTGGCCTGCGGAACCTTCTACTGTTGGAGGTGCATGCACCAGAAAGAACCCTGCTCAACTCATGAGTGCAGGTTGAGTTGGGAGTTAGTGTGTCTGTGAGGAACATGTTGTTACTTGTAAAATGAGCATATCTGATTTGGAAATAATTGGGGGCTAATAAAGAATGAACCCATAATGCCTCCAGGCTTACTGCAATGACCTCTACTGTGTGGCTGACCCTGAAAAGTCCTTGGAAACTTCAAAAATACCTTCCCTTCATTCTGGGTATGTCTACGCTGCAGTTAAACACCCGCAGCTGGCATGTGTCAGCTGATTTGAGCTAGAGGGGCTCTGGCTGTGGGGCTGTAAAATTGCGCTGTAGACGTTTGGGCTCGGGCTGGAGCTCAAGCTCTGGGACTTCATGAGGCGGCAGGATCTGAGAGCCCAGGCTTCAATCCAAGCCTGAATGTCTATACTGCAATTTTACAGCCCCCACAGCCCTAGCCCCAACTTAGCTGACACAGGCCAGGTGCAGGTATTTAATTGCAATGTATACATAGAATCATAGAATATCAGGGTTGGAAGGGACCTCAGGAGGTCATCTAGTCCAACCCCCTGCTCAAAGCAGGACCAATCCCCAATTAAATCATCCCAGCCAGGGCTTTGTCAAGCCTGACCTTAAAAACTTCTAAGGAAGGAGATTCTACCACCTCCCTAGGTAACGCATTCCAGTGTTTCACCACCCTCCTAGTGAAAAAGTTTTTCCTAATATCCAACCTAAACCTCCCCCACTGCAACTTGAGACCATTACTCCTTGTCCTGTCCTCTTCTACCACTGAGAATAGTCTAGAACCATCCTCTCTGGAACCACCTCTCAGGTAGTTGAAAGCAGCTATCAAATCCCCCCTCATTCTTCTCTTCTGCAGACTAAACAATCCCAGTTCCCTCAGCCTCTCCTCATAAGTCATGTGTTCCAGACCCCTAATCATTTTTGTTGCCTTTCGCTGGACTCTCTCCAATTTTTCCACATCCTTCTTGAAGTGTGGGGCCCAAAACTGGACACAGTACTCCAGATGAGGCCTCACCAATGTTGAATAGAGGGGAACGATCACGTCCCTCGATCTGCTCGCTATGCCCCTACTTATACATCCCAAAATGACATTGACCTTCTTGGCAACAAGGGCACACTGTTGACTCATATCCAGCTTCTCGTCCACTGTCACCCCTAGGTCCTTTTCCGCAGAACTGCTGCCTAGCCATTCGGTCCCTAGTCTGTAGCGGTGCATTGGGTTCTTCCGTCCTAAGTGCAGGACCCTGCACTTATCCTTATTGAACCTCATCAGATTTCTTTTGGCCCAATCCTTCAATTTGTCTAGGTCCCTCTGTATCCTATTCCTGCCCTCCAGCATATCTACCACTCCTCCTAGTTTAGTATCATCCGAAAATTTGCTGAGAGTGCAATCCACACCATGCTCCAGATCATTTATGAAGATACTGAACAAAACCGGCCCCAGGACCGACTCCTGGGGCACTCCACTTGACTCCGGCTGCCAACTAGACATGGAGCCATTGATCACTACCCTTTGAGCCCGACAATCTAGCCAACTTTCAACACACCTTATAGTGCATTCATCCAGCCCATACTTCTTTAACTTGCTGACAAGAATACTGTGGGAGACAGTGTCAAAAGCTTTGCTAAAGTCAAGAAATAATACATCCACTGCTTTCCCTTCATCCACAGAACCAGTAATCTCATCATAGAAGGTGATTAGATTAGTCAGGCATGACCTTCCCTTGGTGAATCCATGCTGACTGTTCCTGATCGCTTTCCTCTCATGTAAGTGCTTCAGGATTGATTCTTTGAGGACCTGCTCCATGATTTTTCCAGGGACTGAGGTGAGGCTGACTGGCCTGTAGTTCCCAGGATCCTCCTTCTTCCCTTTTTTAAAGATTGGCACTACATTAGCCTTTTTCCAGTCATCTGGGACTTCCCCCGTTCGCCACGAGTTTTCAAAGATAATGGCCAATGGCTCTGCAATCACAGCCGCCAATTCCTTTAGCACTCTCAGATGCAATGCGTCCAGCCCCAGGGACTTGTGCCCGTCCAGCTTTTCTAAATAGTCCCTAACCACCTCTTTCTCCACAGAGGGCTGGCCATCTATTCCCCATGTTGTGATGCCCAGCGCAGCAGTCTGGGAGCTGACCTTGTTAGTGAAGACAGAGGCAAAAAAAGCATTGAGTACATTAGCTTTTTCCACATCCTCTGTCACTAGGTTGCCTCCCTCATTCAGTAAGGGGCCCACAATTTCCTTGGCTTTCTTCTTGTTGCCAACATACCTGAAGAAACCCTTCTTGTTACTCTTGACATCTCTTGCTAGCTGCAGCTCCAGGTGCGATTTGGCCCTCCTGATTTCATTCCTACATGCCCGAGCAATATTTTTATACTCTTCCCTGGTCATATGTCCAACCTTCTACTTCTTGTAAGCTTCTTTTTTATGTTTAAGATCCGCTAGGATTTCACCGTTAAGCCAAGCTGGTCGCCTGCCATATTTACTATTTTTTCGACACATCGGGATGGTTTGTCCCTGTAACCTCAACAGGGATTCCTTGAAATACAGCCAGCTCTCCTGGACTCCTTTCCCCTTCATGTTAGTCCCCCAGGGGATCCTACCCATCCGTTCCCTGAGGGAGTTGAAGTCTGCTTTCCTGAAGTCCAGGGTCCGTATCCTGCTGCTTACCTTTCTTCCCTGTGTCAGGATCCTGAACTCAACCAACCCATGGTCACTGCCTCCCAGATTCCCATCCACTTTTGCTTCCCCCACTAATTCTTCCCGGTTTGTGAGCAGCAGGTCGAGAAAAGCTCATACCCTAAGCTGCCTGGAAGTATAGTGGGTTCACCAGTGCTGCTGTTTATTCCTGTGCTCCATAGACTGCGCTAGAGTCCAGTTCAGTTTCAAGTGTTTGTTTTGACCTATGGTTTGGTTCCGTGGTTCTTTGAGACCACCTCTCTCCTCCTTTTCCTTCTCTCATTTTGAGATCAGCCAGATGCTTGTGCCAACAGTTCAAGCTTTGTATATCAGGTGGCTACCAGCAGGTAGCTCCAGCTAAGGCCCCTTTTATTCTGTTTCTGCCTCAGTGGAGCCAGAGTTTATTGATGTGCACAGCATGTTGCAAATGTTCATTCAGGCTTTCCCTAGAGGCATGTTGGAACAGTCCTGATACTTTGACGGGGTGGGGGATGTGCATGGGAAGGTCATTAGCATCGTCCTATCAATAGAGATGGCTTATTTGGGGGCTAAATATTTAGATTTGTTTTACTGATTTGGCACCACATCAACGGGGAAAAACTAAATGGACTTTTTTTAGTCACTTTTCAGAGTAATAGCCACATATTTAAATATTGTACTCTTGATGGTTTACAGTTCATGATCAGATAAAATTATCCAGCTCTTTTTTTCTTTTTCTTTTTTTGGCCTTCAGTTTGAAGGAACCCATGTGAAATACTGTCAAGTTTGAAAGAGGTCACAACTTGGTCCAAAGAGACCATGCAGTAATGCATGAGAACCCTAAAAAAAAAAAATCCTCAATTCAGTCAGCGTGCTATTTGTTAAGAGTGCATCCAAGCATTATGAAATGCCAAATGATGTTTCAATAAACCAAACTTATTGCCACAATTGGGAGTCCACATTGCTGCTTAGAAAAGTTTTCACATGCTGTTATGGTTCAGAGCAGTTCACATCAATACTCGTGATAGCTGAAGTGTTCAGAAATCATTCTATATGTGCTAACTGGAGATAGTCTATAGCACAATTAAAACAAAAATTCTCCCTGGAGAAGAAAATGTGCCTCTACTCCTGTTGGAAAACTATCATCTTTGCAGTTTTCAAGCCCTTTTCTCACAGAATGACATTGTTTCAGAATTCAGAGTAACAGCCGTGTTAGTCTGTATTCTCAAAAAGAAAAGGAGTACTTGTGGCACCTTAGAGACTAACCAGTTTATTTCAGAATGCATTTGTGCTTGGCATGGTCCAGCTCCCAGTGTGGATTAAGAGTTAACTGTACAAAGAAGGGTCAAAACGAAAGCTTCTGTACTCTTCTACAGTGTAGTTAGCTCTCTAACCCTGAATCAGATTTCTGGAAGTTGCTGTCCTGTTACAGTGGATCACTTTTCAAAGCAGAATTGACCCAGAGCAAGTTTCTCCAGATCCTATTCCCTAAAGTGGCTCAAAAATTGAGTTTGTCATATGCCTGAATACATTAAAAATTTTGAGGCCCTACATTATGGGTTGATCCTAGCTATGTTTAGCCTTACTACATTCCTGCTTTCCATTTTGGGTCATTTATGTTGAGGTCCATAGAAATGCCAAAGAATTGCAAGAACTGTCCGAACATTCCCAAGCTGTGCATTGTTACATGGACAATACTGTCAGTAGCATAACTGTGCTAGAGCTACCTAAATTGATGATGCCATGTAGGCTGTCTGTCACTTAATCAGGGCTGGCTTCTTCAGGAAAGTGTCGGTTCTCAGGACCACCACTGCAGTGTAGTAACCAAAAACAAATGGCTGTGTTATTGCTTTATTGCCAGAAGTCTCTGATCAGACTAAGTCATGAAAGAACAAATGAGAAATATTTCATCGGTGTTTGACCTAGCAAGTCAGTGACTAAAATTAAGTGACTGGCATATTAATATCTGCTGCCAGGACATTGTGTGTATTTGGAGTCATACATCAAACATAATCAACTGGGATTTGGTGTTAACTTTCTTAGTTTTTTTACAAATGCCGCACTAATTTTCCACTAGGAAAAAGGCATAATTTGAAGTGTTGTGCAAGATTTGGGGTTCATAGCAGACATCCGTATCAAATTCTTGAATTGACAACTAGCAGTGAGGGCAGAATGGTTTTGTGAAGGGGGAAGGTAAATCACATGGGTATAAAATGATGTGACATGCATAATATGTGATGCTTTGCTTTGACTGGGTTTTTCTGTTGCTTTGGAATTGCAGCTCAGCCTAAGTAAAGAGATAAGTCTACTCAATAGAGTCCTTCTCTGTTTTAACATAGTTCTCTCCATGTACCTCAGGTCCAGTAGATGAGTATATGCTGCCTTTTGAAGAGGAGATAGGTCAGCATCCATCCCTTGAGGACCTGCAGGAAGTGGTGGTTCACAAAAAGATGCGGCCTGCTTTCAAGGATCACTGGCTGAAACACCCTGTATGTCCCATCTTGTTAACAGCTTAAAATGTTTCCCCTGATGACTGGAATTAGCAATGCAGTTGAGCATTAGATGTTAACTTCAAGCCACTTACATCAGGGAAATTATCTTTTAACAGTTTTTGGCAGAATGGAACTGTCTTGAGGCATAAGCTAAACTACATATGAACTTTATTTCTCTAGTCTCCTGGGCCTAATTTTCAAAGGAGCTGAGCATCCACAACTCCATGGGAACTAAAAGTGCTGAGCACCTCTGAAAACAGTCCCTATCACCTTCTCTCTCCCTGACTTCTTCCTCCCCACCTCTTCATTGGTATGATGTAGAATATCACTAGAAGAAGAAAAATCCATCGCTAAAAATAATAGTATGCAGCTTTTATATACCATTTTTCACTAGCAGAGCTCAAAGAACTTTTATAAAGGGGGTCAGTATCATGTCCCCATTTTACTGATGGGAAACTGAGTGATTTGCCTAAGGTGAACCAGAAGGCCAGTGGAAGCATTGGGAATCGAACCCAGGGCATGTGACGCTTATGCAGTGATGAAGTGAGTTGTAGCTCACGAGAGCTTATGCTCTAATAAATTGGTTAGTCTCTAAGGTGCTACAAGTACTGCTTTTCTTTTTACAGATACAGACTAACACGGCTGCTACTCTGAAACCCATTCTGTTGGATAGTTTGTCCTTTCTTTTACTGTGGTTTTAATCAACTGATTTGATTTTTTTTAAGCTATTTCACCCTTCACCAGCGTAAGCAGAGATGGAATATTTTATAATTTTTTGAGCATTAATTTAGTGAAAAGGATTCCCATCCCCCTGGCATTAGCTTTTTTGAGGCTTAGTGTTTGTGTGATGGGCCAGATTGATATCTGAAAACGAAGCCCTCAGTTTACCTATAGAACAGGTCCATACACATTCAGTGGCAGTGCAAGCTTCCTCCACATTCTGAAAGCCAACATGTCTCAACCCTGTTCAGGAGAGTATATCAGTCTCCAGGCCCATTCAGTCCTCATTCTCTCTGAAGAAATGCCAGCAAAGGTGCTAATTGCAGTGATGAGTCTTTTGTGCTTTGGGCACCTGTCCACTAATTAAACTGAGACCTCCAAGTCATTACACATGAGCCAGTGAACTGTTAGATGACTTACCTGTGCTGAATTAAAAATGATGACCTAAAGGCAAAAGGTTCAGTCGCTGAGCTGTCCAGTCCCCATGCACTAGCGAAGACGCTAGATACCTCTATCTTCAGCCACATAGTTGCCATTTTTCAGAGTAGCAGCCATGTTAGTCTGTATCCGCAAAAAGAAAAGGAGGACTTGTGGCACCTTAGAGACATTTGAGCATAAGCTTTTGTGAGCTACAGCTCACTTCATCAGATGCATCCAGTGAAGTGAGCTATAGCTCACAAAAGCTTATGCTCAAATACATTTGTTAGTCTCTAAGGTGCCACAAGTCCTCCTTTTCTTTTTATAGTTGCCATTGTTTCAGGTGGTTTAAATTCTTTCTATTTCCCCAAAACCAGGGACATTAGTTGTTGTAATATATGGTTGAATCCTGATTATTCAAAATTGGATAAAATTCAGATTATTAATAACCTGCATTTAGTTGTACGGAAGGTCAGGTGTTTAATCCAATAATTTTATAGGATGATGAAACACACTATCTATCTATCTATAATTTATTTTGATATATCTATAAAAATAACACAATATATAGTGAGAATACATAATATAACAGTTTTCCCATAGAAATGAAGCAGTATTTCTTTAGGAAGATGAGTTTTATAGTACTTGTAACAAAGTTGCCAACTCTCGTGCTGTTATCATAAGTCTTGGAGTATTTGGTGTTTTGTTTTTCTTTTTCTTAAAATTCCTGTTCCTGGAATCAAGTGATTAGTTGAGAATCTCTGCTTTGATTTTTCCTTCATGTTTGTGGGGAAAAAGCTTGATCTGAGTGCACCCTAAAGAGTCAGGACCCATAAGACAAAGAACTTAAGTGTATTATTTAAAAAAAAAAAAAAAACCAACACAACTTTTTTTAAAGTACTCTTATAATATTTTGAGGCCTAACTCAGGATTTTTGAGAACCTAGGGCAGGCAATATTGACATAGGGACAATAGAAGGGCTTGGAATAAATCTGCCTCACACTAGCCTGCCGTGCTCTAAGTGTCTATGTGGACACTGCTGCTGTGCATGAGGAGTTTCCTAGCATGCTTTGATCTGCTCCTGTTTTACAGCAGGGTAGCTCAAAGCACACTAGGAAACTTTTAGTGTGCAGCAGCAGGGTCCACAGCAGACTAGTGAGGGGTAAATTTACATACTGTCTTGCCACAAACTAACCATTCTTATAAACAAGCCCATAGGATCTTCTGTTTAAGAGATGTGCCCAGATTCTCTTACATCTGCTGCCAGACTCTGCGTGCTGCTCAACATGCCACCCCCTCCCTTCCGTCTAAAAACAAGGTTTCAGCGAGAATCTATTTGCTACATATGTGTTTCCTCTTGCCTCTCCAGGGTTTGGCACAGCTCTGTGTTACGATAGAAGAATGCTGGGACCACGATGCAGAGGCTCGGCTTTCGGCAGGCTGTGTCGAGGAGCGCATTTCTCAGATCCGTAAATCAGTAAACGGCACTACCTCGGACTGCCTCGTTTCCATCGTGACATCTGTCACCAACGTGGACTTGCCACCCAAAGAGTCTAGTATCTAAGTCCTGGTTCACTTTTGTCTTTCCAGACTCAGTGGATTTAAAAAAAGTTTAAAAACCCAACAAACACATGAATGCAGCTGCTATTTTATCTTGACTTTTTATTGTTGTTGTTGTTGTTGTTTTTGGATTGGATCAATTTTACCAGCACATTGCTCTACTGTATTAAAAAAAAAAAAGAAAAGAAAAAAAAAAAAACAAAGAAGACATCTCAGCAAGCATTCAGGTGCCGACTAATGAATGCAGAAAAGGTGCAGGTACCTCAGAACCTCAACAAACTCACTTCATTTGTGGTTTTTTTTAAATTCAGTTTTCTGGGTTTCTCTTTATCAGTCTATCTTCAACGCAGAGCATCTCTGACATAAAGGAAAACCACATACCATCTTAGAAAACGCAATGCTGTAAACTTAGGAGGAAACTTAAGACTGTTACATAAGATTACACCTTCCTCAAAAGGATTATTTTCCCCTATTTTCTTTTTTTGGACAGTGAGCTTCAAAAAGAAACAAACAGCAGATGTGTCTTTTACGGATCTAACGGGTGTCATTGTAACGGAAAAGAACACAAGAAACTGGGAAGAGAATGTTAACTCTTTGATGGTAAAATTAAAGGGGGGTGTTTAGTATAAGGGAAAGGGAGAGTGACGTTGGACTTTGCAGCATTTGGAGAAACATCATTTGCTATGGAGCTACTTCTCAGGTAACCAGTTAATGAGGGGAAGAACTTTTTTGAGGCAGAGTATTTATCACCGCAGCATATGGAGAAAGTTGGGTCAAAGAGCCAATGGGATAAGCAAGGTACTAGTTCTTACTTCCCCCAGTATCTCAGGCTTGGGTGTTAAAAGAACAAAACCAAACCATGGGGTGGGTGGGGGTGTGTGTGTGTGTGTATGTATATATATGTGTGTGTATGTGTGTATATATATATATATTTAAAACTCCAGGTTAGAATTGGAAAAAGATGCTTTTAAGCAGTGTAATTGAGAGAAGTAGCAGCATATTCTCAGAAGCACTCTGTAAAGTATTGGAAGATTTGAAAGCATTTATATCTTGCTTTAAATACAGTAGCAGTTCAGGGAATAAGGCCTCAGGGCTGGATAACTGCTTAGCCCAAGCTACCAGTGCAGATGGTTAAAAAGAAGAAAAGTATGATTTCTGGCTCTGTAGAAAGGCCTTTTTTTAACTGGAGGGGAAAACATTACCTGGGCCAGTAGCAGACAGTTGCACCCAAGAATCATTTGAATTGTAAAATTGCAGAATATAGGGAGGTAACAGAGCAGCATTAGAGTTAACCATAGAATCTGTTAAACCAATTTCTTTGACTCAGCTTTCTCTTTATCTGTGACTAAACTCTTTTGTCTTAAAGTGGTGCATATTCTAAAATACCGTTACTCTAGTATGCCATAAACTTGCTCTAGTCAGTGAATGTTCCTAATGCTGCTGATTCAACATTTAAATATTTTTTTAATTTGCAAAACATGCAATGTTTAAAATACAAAACACGTTACGTGGCTTCCGAGGTTTAAACTGAAAAAAAAAAAATTAAACTTCATGACCACAGACCACCTCAAACCAGAAATACCTCAGAATTTTCTACTTGTATGAGTTTTATTATATATTTTGTTAGTTGTGTTGTCTTGTAGTAAGTCTATTTTAATGTAAGTTGGCTTTTATGACAAGGGAGTTTTAAAAAAAGGAAGAAAAAAAGAAAAAAAGTTCCAACATCTTTTAGGAAGTGCTACCATTTTTTGTTTTATAAAGCACCATTGTAAATAACTGTATACAGTTGTAGAATAACTGCCTATATAAGGTATCTGGGCATTATTCACTCTTGTTTGTGAACATTGTTTCCATTTTGTGTTTGGTCTGTTTCAGTGAAAGGACAGTACATCTTTTTATTAAATAATTTTACTTTTTCTCAGAATATAACATCAATACAAAAATCAATGTCTTGCTAGACTGAAAGTTATCTTTCCTCTTTTGATTGCCAGAACTTTTAAACTTTATTTGCGTTTATACCAAAATATTGCCCTAAACAAATGACCTTTTTATGATGTAAAAATATATATTCTATAAACAAATTGGGATTTTTTTTGTCACTGACAAAATAGCAACAGGGAATCTTGGTCTAGGTGTAAATTATTAAGCAAACAAAATTACCGCCTGGAAAAAAAGATGAAAATTATTTTTCTCAAAAGCATGGCTTTAAAAACCTTGATAAAAGTCCTTGATATTGGAGAGACAGTAAGGTAGTTGCCTTAATTTGTCTGTCTAAATAAAATCTTAAACACGTTTTTCAAGTTATTGAATGTATATTTGCATATTAATATGTGCACACATGTAAGTGTATTTGTGTATGTTGATGTTTCTGATTTTTAATGTGACCCTGTTCAGAAAACCTGGACAAAAACACAGGCAAAATAATAAAATTCTGGCACAGTTCATGGTTAACATCTTTGGCCCCAATGCTACAAACGCCATAGTGCTTAAAGTGAACCATGCAAGTAGTTCTGTTGAAGTCAGTGGCAATATTCACATACTTAAAGTTAAGCATGTGCATAAGTGTTTGCAGGATTGGGACCTTTCTTTTGCTTTGTGAATACATTTCTGCACTGAGATTTATATACATGTGGTTTAGTGTTTTGAAAAGGAGTGATACAAGCTTTGGGGGTGGGATTCTAGATAAGACTTAAGATTGAATAAACTGTAGTTTTGTAGGTTTTTTCCTGAAATGGGAGCCAGTCTAGATTGTTATGGAAAGTAAAAGTTGTACTGTCTTTTAACTATTATGATCTTTGTGCTGTTCTGGATTTTTTCCTTCAGAATTATGTGTTATGGATAAAACAGGCTTGTTACAGTAGTTGCTTTTTTTTAAACTGATTTATTTAAGAAGCTTTAAAGTATTTATTGAAAGTGCCATATGATTTTCAATAGCCTATTAGACATTCTTCCTCAACAGTGTCTTTTGAGGAAGAATAATCAAAAACTCTTAACATGTAGCTTATTTTACTTCAGAGAACTGTAAGGACATACCAACTTTGACCAAACACTGATTGTGAGATACTAGCATCTTCTCTGGCTTTACAGTTCCTTATAGATCATTTTGTGAACATAACTTAGTAACTGGTAAGAGGAAATTTCTGCAGGGCATATATGTTCAGTTACAAATTTATATGTGATTGTGGGATGAGTGTGTGTGTGTGAGTGCATGTTAGTATGTCAGAGAAGGAAGTCCTGAGGTCTTGTCTACATAAAAATTTGCACCAGTTTAAACAAAGGTGTACAAATTTAAGTTAAACTTGCAAGTTTTTCATGTAGATGATTGTTCTCATCAAATGCACAGGTTTCTAAATACCAAGCGAGTAGTTTCATCCCTGCTAATCCAGCATTTGAACTGTCATTTTACAGTATCCATTGGAATTTTGTTTAGTATTGTAAAGACATTTCCTAAGATAGCAATAAGGCACCTCCACAGGTGTAGCAGTTATAAGCAATTGCAGCCATTTCCCCTCAACACCTTGAATATGATTAGGACCATGTATTTTCATTTTTGAAGTGCCAGTGATCACGGCATTTGCAAACTTTGAGACAAGGCTATTTAAAATATGCTCTTTAAAATTTTCATATTCAAAGTTCATAGTTTAATGTTAATTTTAAACATCCTGGGTGGCAATTGGCAATGGCAAATTTCCCTTTGGCTTCAGGGGAGCCAGGATTTCATCAGCGTTTATCTTAACTCAGGTTATGAATTTGTCACACTGACTTAATTAGTTATCTGGCTGACTCAAGTATGAGTTCACATTTTAAACTGGGAAACTCTACAGGAACTGAAATTGACTATACAGGATAGATCTGCTAACTGCTAAAACAATGTTAATATCAGTGTACCAGGGCTGGAAATTAGTGCATTGCATGAATGTTTAAATATATGTGCATTTTATAAGGAAGGCTGTGAATTAGTCCTTGGTAAGCAGCATTTAATTTATTTATGCGGAATACAGATTGTATATTGCCCTCATCAGCAAGTAATCTCTAGCAACCTACCAAAGAAGTAGTCTATTCAGTTTGTTGCCACCAACACAGCTGACTTGTTCTGTCATCCTTTACAAGTCTCTTATGAGTGTCAGAATAGTATATTATAGAAAGTGATTTTAAAATTGTTTTAACTTCCTAGCAGAAGCCAGTGACAAAATTTCCTATTATACTAAAAAAGATAAAGATATGAATAATTTTTGGGCTACATTTGCAATAGAACTAAGCAGCCACCCACAAATCAGATCAAGATTTTGCAAAGTTAATTAGGGCTGGTTTGTGAGTCCGTTCTTCATATTGCAGTCAGTGAGGTATAAGGGTGGTACTCCGTGTGAGCTAGGGCATCACAATCTAGATCAGAATAAGAATTTTAAGACATACACTGTGGTCCTAGCACCTGTGTTCTTACAGAAAGGCTTAAAATTCAATGAATCCATCAATTCCTAAAATTTTATTGAACCTTCTAAGTGATTATTATCTAAAACATAGTTAGTTGTGTTACGGATACCACAGATTGTTGGCTAAGTATGAATTAAATACTACTTCTTAAAGTAAATGATTTTTTTTAAATTAAACCCATTCTGGGTGAAAGTCAACTAATTCCTCCTGCAGTTTTGTTATGCTCTTGAATAGTTTATTTAAAAAATATAAACCTGGTACCACACATACCTTAAGTAAGCCCAATTCTCACTATAGAAGTACTAAAACAACTCCCTATATTAAATCATAGTAGTAATTTGCTACCCAATCCTGCTCTCTATAATCAGGCAAAACTCCCACTTAGGTCAGTGACAGTGTTTGAGTTTTGGAGCTGGCCCTTACTGTATGTGTTATGTCTATGAATAGGAATTTTTAATGGTCAAGAGTATCTCTCCACATTTTGAGTTCCCAGAATCATTGGTTAATCTAAGATGCTTTAATTTCCTTAGGTCTATCAACACTTGCAAAGATGGGTATAAAACGCACTTGCATTCAGAATTTTCTACAAGCCCCAAGTTGTGGTGTTGAGATAAGTAAAGGAGGGTACAGACCAAAGTTGGAAACGGATTTTTTTTTAAAAGCCTTACGGGTTTGGACCTTTGTGTCTCCATAGTCATTTTTATTAAGGTATGAGATGCAGTGTCTTAGACTTTTCTCTCATACTTTTAAGGTGAAATTCTGCTCCTCTCCCTGCCCACAAAAAGCATTAGATAAGAATTACACCTGTGGAAATGCCAAGTGCGCATGCTCAATCTCTAAGTTTCAGGGGCAAGATGCAGCAAATGTCCCTTCCCATTTCTCTGATTAGCAAGTTACATTTCACCCAATACTGAGGTCTCAATTCTGTTCCCATTGAAGTCACTGACTAATCATGGAAGTTCATTGGATGCAGAATTCCTGGTGGGAATTCCCATGTGCAGACCTTGTAGGATCAGGGCCCTTCTTACCAGGAGTAATGATTTCTCCTCTAACAGCATCTAGACTGAAAAACACACACATAATTCCAGTACCACTACCTTCTAGACAGACTGTCAGAGGTTTACCCAGTTTTCCGGGAGAAAGAACTAATCTCTTGTTATGAAAGTGAGACATTTAAGTTGCAGAAGTTACTGCTTGATAACATTGTGAGCATGAAGTTGTTGCAGTCCTGTCCAAGTAGTACTTTGGTTGAGAAGTTACTAAGCAGGAAGCACCCCCCAACTATATCACTTTTGCATACAGAATATTGTTTGGTAACATTGTAAATAAGAGGTAGACTATATAGTAAGAGAGGGAAATAAGAACATTTTAACTTTTTTACTTTGGAAAAAATATATATATATTTAGTTACATATACAAGCAAAAATTCTACATTGTGTACCTGTTCTTTTATACCACAAATTATTTTTGTAAAGTCTAATATGTTTCTGCAGGGAAAAGGGAGAAAAGTTTTGTGTATCCACAGCAAAATATATATATAATTTTTAATCTAACTCTGCACTACATCAAAGTATAGAGGATGGAACAGTTTAATCTGAAACCCATTTAATAAGCAGGTTGGAAGTACATGGACATTTTTGGGGACTGCACTGTACATTTCTAATTGGTTACCTTGTATGTTTCATCCCTTCTGCAAAAGAGGCTTGTTGCTTTTGTATGGCCAGCTACGACTTAACCAAGAAGGCTGTTTTCATATATCCGTGCAAAGATCCATGTGTGATCAGTGTGCTGTCATGCATGAGCTGTGATGCTGCAGTGGATTGTGAAATCCGAGTTTTGAGAATTTTCAAAGACCAAATACTTGGGTTGATTTTACTCATTGACATGTCCATTTATAGCAGCCGCTTCTGATGCATTGATGATATGATCTCTAAGGAACTGTTGCCAGCAGAAACCCAATAAAACAAATTTCTAGAAGTCCCTTCCAATTGTATAGATCTCATAAACAGGTCAGGCTTTTCCAGGATATTGAGACAGGTGTTCTGTTTGCCTTCTGAAAATGTAAGGGATGC